GACATTTCCCCCAAAGTTAGTAAAAAAAATTATTTTATTAAATCCAATTATTTATTTTATTGGGCAACAAATGCATGTCCAGAGAATAGCTGCCTTTGTCATGATCAACTGCTTTAATTTTTTTCAAACAATTTGGGCACATTTTCTAAAAAAATTAAAAAAAAAATTGAATACTTTTTATTAAATTCTTATTACCAATTATTTTTATTTTTATTTATTTTTATATACTTTTTTATTAAATTCTTATTACCAATTATTTTTATTTTTATTTATTTTTATTTTATTTAGAATACATACATAAATGCTGCCTTAATATTTAATATACCAATAGTATTAACTTTTTTTTTTTTTGCCCACATTTCAGTAATGATAGTAATGAGGATAATGTGCTTCATTGTCTTTGCTTCATTTTTTATGCATGTATAAAATGCATTTATTCACCAAAGATTCACTTCTCTCCCTCTGGTCTGAAGATATCAGAGCAGACAGACAGCAGACAGCTGTGCCGTAATGGATGGCCCTCAGGTTAGGTACTTTTTACTGCCTCTGCCAGATAAAAGAGCGGGCCGATATGTCACCCTTGGGGTACTCCTCCTTTTGAGGTGAGGGAGGAGGGGGCCGTACAGCAGCAAACAGCCTGCCATAAAACTACAGAGCCATGACCACACCTTTAGACTCTTTTTCTAGTTCACAGCACTCTTTTATGTGGGAATATAATCTCTTTTCTTCCGGAACAGCTTTTATTTTCCGTTGCTTTTCGGCCGCCCCTTTTCCAAGTGTTAAAAGACTGCACGTACATGTACATGAACACGTGTTGACTGGACGGGACTCTTAATTCCCGGCCGCTGGTTTTCAATTGGTGAATGTGCATGTGGTTTTTAAACCCTGATTACATCATGATTTGGCCCATAGGCCAGCTCCGATAAGCCGGATCATACTTTTATGTAATAGAGAAGAGTTGAGGACATAGTTCACACACAAGTGCTGTATAAACAAAAAGCACATGGGAAAGTGCATATCCCTTCACACCTTTCTTGTTTTCGGTGTAATCCGTGTGCCTTTCTCGGGAATCGTGGCGTAGGTGAATTTGAACAGAGGATGTGTGTCAGTGTCATGCTTGACTGGTTTTCATGAATATCAAGAACGGCGGTAAAATTATTAACAGACGTTCTGCTTGATGTGCTGTGCGTATGTCGCTTCATGTACACAGGTAAGAGTGTGTGTGTGTGTGTGTCTGTCTGTGTGTGTTTTTAAAGGGAAGAGGATGAATAAGGTCTTTCACTGAAATGGAGGAATCACATGCTGTATTTCCAACACACAAACACTATCTATCCTACATAGTCAGTTTAGTGTGTCCCAAACCATAGTATGTTAAAAATAGTTTTTCAGATTTTTTAAGCTGATATTAACCAGTAATGTGCATATCGGGCCTAAAATCAGTGAACATTTATCTTTTTTTGATGTC